TTAAGCTGTGTATTCACCAACTGGGACATATGTATATATATCATACGATTACATTGTTCGTGGTGTTATGGTTATAGAGTGCTATTCTCATGCCGCAAGGGGAAATCGTCCGGCCAACTTTTTTTTATGTGTAAGAATGTTCTTTATTACATTGTTGGCTGTCAACAACGGCGTAGGCTTATACTTCTTTGGATTGGCCATTTTTCAATTAACTTATAAAACTCAATTAATAGTTTTGTGAATGAAACGGGGTAATTGAATACTTCCTCTGGTCCAAATTAATTATATGAAAAAGTTTTAAAACCCTATTTTTTTGGGGACAAGATTAAAACCGTATTTGGTTTCAAATATAAAACAAATTAAAGATGTGTATTGCAGTATGTCGAATGACTTCTGGATCCTGTCTGATTTCTTTTTCTGGTTTAGGGGGCTTAAAAAGATGTATTATATATGTTGCGGACTCTGGACCTCGCTTTCTCATAGTTTGGTTTGTCGTATTTGAATTTATTTAGCGGCCTGAGACAGCTCCACGTTCTGAACCACTTAAGATGCAAACATAAGGAGTGGAGGGGAAAAAATTTTATGAGCTTAATTTAAAAAATTGGAGAAGTGAGATTATAAAATTTTGATAAAAAGAAGATATAAGATAAAAGAGTAAGTAAGAAAAATCAATTAAAAGTTTTCAACCCAATTTCTTAAACCTCTTAAGTTGAGTTCATTTAAAATTTTTTTTATCAATGTCCTGCGCGGTGATTGTATGGCTTAGAATAGGTTGTTGCATTTGGGTATTGCATCTTAATGGGCCTAGAAAGCCCAAAATTGAAAGTCCTCAGCAAACAAATATAAAAGGCGAAACCAAAAGCAACACCTATAAAATTAGGTTTAATGAAAGGAACTAATGTCTTACAATCTAGCAAACCAATATTTGGATTCCCAATGAGAAAGGTGCCAAAAAATCAAGGTACTAAAAACCGGATTGGTCACTGAACTGGTTGAGACAGTGGGTTAAGAGTTAGTGGTTCAGACCGGAGTCAACCCGGAGTCAGACCGGTAATAACTAAAAAATAGTGACAATAGTGTATGAATTATTAATAAATTAAGTTATAAATAATTATTAGATATATTGATAAATGATATCCGTATATACTAGACCGAAGTCCTTTTAATGATTAATTGTGGCTAATTATGTTTAATTAAATTATACTTTATTTTATTATCTATTTTATATTTGTGAGAATTAGTCAGTTAAATAAATATTATAAATTTACTATTTAAGATATTTGCACATATGTTAAATATTATTTTATTTTGTGCAAATCTTTAAATTTTAATTGAAGATTAATGATGAAAATTAATTGGATTTAGGTGAATTAATTTTTATTCTCTCATTTTTTTTCTTTAGGTGTATTAATATAAATAAGAATTAGGAAGTTTAAGGATAGTTTTGTCATTTTAATTTTAAGATTAGGTTTTGGGGATGTGGTGGGGCCAACACATTAGATTAGAGGGGGAGGAAAGGAAGTATGAAGCGATGGCTAGGAAGGAGAGAGCCAACTCCGTAGTTACTGAAGGAAAAAAAGTGAAAAGGACGAAGAGGAAGCAGAGTGTGAAGCCAGGATGAGATCGGAGAAGCACGCTGTCTCAAACTTGCAAGCCTTTGCCGCTCCCTCATTGTTTTGGCCGTCACTTTTAATTCTCGATCTCGCTCTCCCTCATGGTCAGCTTGTCATAGGTTCCCTACTTGAGATTTCGTTTAAGGTTCGCTGAATCTCTTTCAAGTAATATTAGGTTGTAGCCTTCAATTTCCGCCTTAATCATGCCTTCCCTCTTCTTTTTCCTCACTACGCCATTGTTGTCTTCAAAGCTTAAAACTAATTTAGACTTTTCGGCCATTCCATTTGAAGCTCATAGGCTCTGGTCTGATGAAAAATAATAACCCGTTAAACCGCCTAACCCAACGGTTTACCCGGTCTATGATTGGTTTACATCGGTTTAGTCCAGTTTGCTCCGGTTCAGGAATCCTCCGGTTTAAGTCACAGATCGGATTGGACAAGTGGCCGGTTCACCAGTTTCTAGTCTGAACCGGCCGGTCCGGTCCGATTTTTAATACCATGCAAAAAATAAAGGCTAAAGCAACACAACAGGTTGAGAACCTGGGAATTAATCCCTTAAGAGTTGATTTAGTTGGCAAAGAATCTATTCATAACTTATAAAGTCATGAGTTTGAATCTCTTGTAAGCTTTTATTGTCCAACTCACCTAAATTTCTTTTAATAAAAGAAAAACCGAGTAGTGCCCTAGAAAACCACAGGTAATACCACCGTGTGATTGAGTTGCCATTAAGCTTCACGTTTCGTAGTGGAGGCTATTACGTACGCACTATATGTTGAAAATTTTCAAAGTTCAATATATGAACATATGATAATAACATCCTTTTTTAAGGATTAAAATCCATAGATCTACTCATGTCACGCCGTCTGACGATAAAATCTGTTGCCATAATGTCTAAAGATAACTTCTTCTTTTTTTTACCTGCTCCACGCTCACCTTTTTTGACAAGTGCACATTAACATCACAATCCACTCGAGTGAGCAAAGTAAAGTGTTTACTTCAATTCTTCAAAGGTATAGAAAAGTAGTACAAAAGCAATCCCACCATATAAAACTAAACCCACTACAAGGCAATTTTAATTGTCCAAATTAAAGTTCCGCTTTCATGGCTATAAATATTATATAGAAACACATAACCCAATACATAGCCAAAGATTACGCGGAAACAAAAACTTTTCAGAGACTTGTGTTTATAATAAGTTGACTTATTATAATACAATGAAACTCGACAGCCTGTTCCTTACTGTCTCATTCCCTCCTTCTTGAATTTTTAATCTCATTCTCTAAACCATCTTCATGGGCAGGATTCGGAGCTGTCCTTTGCTTTGTGCTTTTGAGTTTTAATTTCCAACTTTAACAAACTTATTCAGATTGCTCAGATATTGCGACTTCAATATATTATTTTTGATTCAACAAATCCTGACATTTCTAATTACCTAGCAATGTTGTAAGCACTATTAATTATTAGGACCTCAAAATTTTTCACAAGCGCGCGCGCGCGCGCGCGCACACACATATCACCACCTTATCACTCTCTAACATCTTGCCTAAAAAGATAACAACATGAGCAAAATATACTGTATCTTTTTATTTACTAGGCTCTTGTCAGCTCCCACATTCATTAAACCAAGTTAAACAAAAACTTCTCAAAAAAGTGCCCTCTATTTCTGTAGGAAAAATTATGTTGAGTAGGTTGATATATGCCGAAATTTTAATTATTTTCTTGGACATGATGCAAATCTTGTAAATTAACTTCATTTTGTTGTGGTATTCACAAGACTTTGATGAAGATAGTCGTTCGTTCAATGACAATTTTCTCTTAAAAATATTTCCATTTTCTATTCAAAATGTATAAAATTTTCGATTGATTGTCAAAGAATCAGAGACAAAAAAAATAACATTGAGAATATTAATAAAGGGTTAAGGGTCAAAAATTCGTTCAATGACAATTTACTCATAAAAATATACCAAAAATTTACACAACAGCATGAACTATCTTTGGGTTCAAGTCTACCAATCAAAATTTAAAAAGTGGTCAATAATGCTAGCGCCGTCAACATCTGTTTTTTTAAGCAGTGGGACCCACAATTTTTTAATGAAAATACCAAAATACCCCCAATGAAAAAAAGTTAAAGGTAAAAAATACTCATGAACTTGTACCAAAAGTTCACTAAACACCATATAATTTTTAATAAAAGTACAGAAATATCCAAATCTTGAAGGGTTATTGCATTAGAGTGTGTTAGAGATTAATAATTATAATAAATTTTTATTTCCGCATCTTTATAATTAAAAAAGATTATTAATGTTTCTTAATAAATTTTTTTCTTGATCAACAATTTTTTCTTTTTTTTATAAAAATTGGCCGATTTTTATAGTTATTATATTAATTGTTATGGCTCAAAATATTTTAATAGGATAAATGTTATACATAATCGTTAAATATTTTTTTCTAACTTATCATATTTTATATTTTAACATCATTATTGCTCATCCCAGAGTGGTTTAATTCTAGAAAATTGTTAAATAAAGTTAACAAAATAAATATTTACTTTTTAATCCTTTGATTAGTATTCATTTGATATTTTCATATTTTTAATTCAATTTTAAAAAAATTACTTAACTCCAGAAACAAAAAATTAAAGGAGGGTGCTCTAAAGGTTAATTTAAATAAAGAATATGAATCCATCTTATAAGAGGGTAGGTTTTTTTTCCTTAAAAAGGAGATGAGCCAAAAAGACCATCAGCAGGTTAAAAGGAAATAGTGATTTCTTTTTTTTTACTAGGGATATTTTGGTACTTTTATTAAAAATAGTGGGTTCCATTATCAATAGTGGCTTTAAATTCTCTCAAAGAATTAAATATAATAAATGTAAAAAAGAATTCAGATTAATTGTTAAATTTGATATCATAGACTGGAGGATAAACATAACTCCATGTATTGTTGGTACAAACAACTTATTTTTAAAAGATACCTATAATGTCTATTAAAAGAAAAGATTGGGAATATAAATAGCTTATATTTAAAGAGCAATTCAATTTAAGCTTAAATTTTTTTACATGAGTTATTTTAATTATAAAAATTTATTATAATTAATAATCTCTAACACAATATAATGCAATAGCCTTTTGACATTGAGATATTTTTATACTTTCAATAAAAATTATATGGTATTTGGTGAACTTTCAGTAAAAGTTCATAAGTATTTTTTACTCTTAACTTTTTTTTTTGTTTTAATTGAAGGTATTTTAGTAATTTTATTAAAAAATCATGGGTCCCATCGCTAAAAAAACAGATGTTAACGGAACTAGTATTATTGACCTCTTTTTAAACTTTTTTTTTTTATATTCAGGAAACAAAAGAAAATAGAATAGAAACTAGAAAAGAAACCTAGTCTCCCGTGTCCATGTGCATGAGTCGTATCACCGTGTCGGGGTGCAGTAGCTGAAGGCCAATTCCTCCCTGAAGAGAATTTTTAGCAAGAGCATCGGCTATCAAGTTATCGTCTCGAGCTATGTATCGAAGTTCCACTCTCCAAGCACGTCTGATCATCGCCTGCACTTCCTTAATCAGGTTAACGTCTTCATGCAGCTCCGGAGGATCTCCTTGGATCAAACGTAAGGCTTCTTGAGAGTCGCTACGTAACAGCACGCTCCTGTGGCCTAGATCCCAAAGTCTCTTGAGACCCATCAAGCACGCCCATAGTTCAATAGTAAGTGCATCGCCTGCTTCCAGTCCCATCTGAAAACCTTCCAGTATGGTATCCTTTCGGTCCTTAATAATTCCACCACAAGCAGCATTGTTGCTGGAATATGCAAATGCCCCATCCACTTCAGCCAACGCGTCAAACTCCACATCAGGTAGTAAATGATCGATCTCATTTCTCAGGCCTAGTTGGAGAGTGGTTCCGATGAGCTTGTTCTAGGCAGCGTTCATGCTGTTTAAGATAGCGACTACTCTAGCGTGGGCACTATGAGCAGTAGGAGAAGAGTTGTTATGTATACACTCATTTCGATCTCGCCACAAAAGCCAGCAAATGGTGAGAAACAGCCCTTTCCAGTAGCATGGGCTGATACAGACTCTTCGTGTCAGATTCAGATGGAGCCAATCCGCGAGGGTGCTGGAGAAGAAAATGGGTTTGAAGGAAGGAGCAATGAGTGTATCCCATACACTTTTGACGGCCTTGCAATCTCGAAGGGCGTGAAGGCTGTCTTCCATGTGCCGCTTGCATCTCTCGCACGTCCTGTTTGGTTGAATATGTCGTTTGAATTTCATTTGGTTGTTAATCAGTTTGTCATGCAACAGCAGCCATGCGAACGTTTTGCACCATTGAGGTATTCTGAGCTTCCAGATATTCATCCATCTCATCTGCGAAGGTTCCGTGCTGTGGTTAGACCTCTTTTGTAAACTTTGATGGGTAGATTTGAATTCAAAAAAAGTTCATGGTATTGGGTGAACTTTTGGTATATTTTCATAGGTATTTTTAACCGTCAACCTATTAATAAATTAAAAACATTATTGTACATGACACAATTATTGTAAGGGAAAAAGGACATTCATAATTTGATCACAATTGACGCACAATCTGGGGTTTCCTCCATGGGGATACGAATGCAACTATGCAAAATACCACACGGGGGGGGGGGACCACAAATAGTTCATTCTTTATAATAAAATAAGCAACTTGATCTGAAGTCTTTCTTAACAAATTAATATAATTCAGAAATGATTCGATCCACTTCCCTTGATCACCGCGGACAGTGGGTCCAACGCGGCCTTCAAATGTAGAGATGTTTTGTATAATGACATGGTGGGTGACACCTTGATCTTGTTGTGTATTGAGCTGAAACTTTTGACGAGATCGAAATATAAATTATGAAAAATTTCAATTTTAGTAAATTAAACAATGTTATGTCTTCTCGTAATGTTTCAGGATATATTCATATAAGACTCATCTTCGCTTCCTTTGCAGGTCCTCTACACAAATCACAAATCAATCTTCTTCTCCGAGTTTCCTTCATTGCCACAGAAAAGTCTCAGTCTCATCAGGTTCTTCTCCCATAACCATTAACGTTTAGCTCAGAAACAATCCACTCCTTTTCCCAGAAAATTCATACATTTATACATATATATATATATATATCGCCAGTTTCAAAGGACCTACTTCTGCTAAGTAGACACTTATCATCTTGGCTTCCTTTGCAGGTCCTTCACACTATTTGCTTGTGGTTGGGTTTTGAGTTTCATAAACCGCAAATCACATCTTCTCCAACTTTCCTTCGCTGCCACAGAAAAGTCTCAGGTTCTCTCATCATAATCACCATTAACGTTAGCTTCGAAACCGTAAAGCACAGTCGTTTTATTTCTCTTCTGAGCCCTGCTTATGCGTAAGGTCCGATTCATCTGGATTTTTACTATTGCTGCTCCATTTTCAAATTAGGGGCACAATAATCTGAATGAGAAATCCGCCACCGCAGATAAGCCTCCGCTCAACCGTCTTAGATTTATGGAGGCGGCTGCACCTCCATACTCGCATCGGGATAATAAGTAAGATTTAGTTTTTTTACTGTTTCAATTATTGCTGTCAGTTCTCCTCATATTTTAATGGTGTGTTGATGGAAGTTGTGGGTATATATTCAAAACAAAACATTTTGATTATTTGAGACTTCTATATATTTTTCTTGATGATGATTATTCCGTGGGTTTTTTGGGGCAAAAAAAAACAAAGAAATTTTCGAGTTTGCACTTTGCAGGTCCAATAATGTCTTTTTTATTTTTTACTTTTAAAGGTATTTATTTAAAACGATTGATGGTCTGGTAAAAAAAAACGATTGATGGCAATAAAATTAATTTTATTCTAAAATATACTCTTTCAAAATAGAATATAGCAAGGATGTGAAATATTGGGGAAAAGGTCTCTCCACTTCCCTACCCCTCCATTTCTATCAACTTCTTATCTCAACTATTAAAATTATAATTTGAACAGTTCAGGTTTCATATTATATAAAATATTTTTTATTATTTTTTAAATTATTATGGCTAAAATTTAGTAATTTAATTCTATTTATTTTTTAAAAAATAATATTTTATTCATAATTTATAAAATATAAAATTTGGATTGTTCAAATTGCAATCTTATGGTTGAGATAAAAAGTGGAAGAAAATAGAGGGATAATAAAGTCGAGAGACCCCTCACTCAAAATGCGGTGTTTAATGAAAATTATTAAATTAAGAGAAAAGTTTGGATTACAAGAATTCTGACTGAATCATTTCGACCTATTGCATTTACCCCTTTTACCTTTATACCAGTGGAAATCGCTTTGAATGTACTCCTTCCTGGGGAGTGGAAGTTAATATTATCCATTCCTGCGCTCTGCTTGGGTAAGATCTACGTAAAGTGTTTTAAAGGTTAAAATAATGATGGAAGTTCTATGAAAATGATTAAATTAAAAAGGCTAAAACCAAACAAGGTTAAGCCACGAAGCAATTTGGCTTCAGTTTTTGAAGTTTTGTTGCAAGAATTTTGACTGATTATCATTTGTGTTTTCCTTTTGTAGCCCTCCTCGTTTGGCGATCAATCATGATAGTGTTAAAACATCGAATAGAATTGGATAAGGCCAATAGGCGTCAAGAGTTTCTGACATTAACTATGGAAGAATTTCTGAGAAATTTGCAAAGAGAGAGCCCAATGAGGCTCACCTCAGATTACCTAAAGCTTGCAACAAATAACTACTCCACCAGGTTGGGGTCAGGAGGTTTTGGATCAGTTTATAAAGGAACATTTAGTGATGATGGATCTGTTGTGGGGGCAGTGAAAGTTCTAAATGGCATTTCCAACGAGAGAATGGAGGAGCAATTCAAGGCAGAAGTGGGCACAATCGGAAAAGTTCGTCATTTAAATCTAGTTCGCCTCATTGGATTCTGCATTGAAAATAATATGGCAGCTCTAGTTTATAATACGTGAGCAATGGCTCTCTTTACAAATATCTGTTTAGTGAAGATAAGACCTTAGCATTTGACAAGCTTCATGAGATCGCAGTTGGGATAGCCAAAGGGATTGCTTACTTGCATGAAGAATGCCAAGAGAGGGTCATCCACTACGACATCAAACCAGAAAACATACTTTTGGACGATAAACTGTGTCCTAAAGTTGCTGATTTTGGTTTAGCCAAGCTCTGTGACAGGGAAAAATCTTATGTTACTATGACAGGACACAGAGGGACATATGGTTATATGGCACCAGAACTTGTGGTGCCTATTAGGGCAACTCATAAGGTTGATGTCTGCAGCTTTGGAATATTGTTATTTGAAATCATAGCAAGGAAAGAAACCTTGATGAGAGCTTCCCATCAGAAGTCAACAATGGTTTCCATTGAGGGTTTGGAAAATGTTTGACGGTGAGAATCTACAACAGCTGATAACAGATTGTGATATTGGAGATATACACAGAGAGATAGCAGAAAGAATGGTAAATATAGCTCTGTGGTGTGTTCAGTATAGACCAGAAAGGAGGCCCAAAATGAGTGATGTGGTGAACATGTTGGAAGGCTCCATGGATATTCCAGAACGCCCTTCAAACCCATTTCAACACTTGATGGGAGAAAATCGTGGAATAACTGAAGCAGCACTAATGGATAATACTACCTCCGGTCCTTAATATAAGACCCTATTTGACTTTTATTTTTGTCCTAAATATAAAACCCCAATCCACTTTGTCTCTCATATTTATACATTTTTTTCCAAAGTAACGCTTATAATAATGATAGTTCTAGTCAATACACTTGATTAGCAAGGATATTTTAAGAAAGACAACACCTATTTAGGACAAATAACTAACTCAACTTACTTCTTTAATCTTCTCAAATTAGTCAATTGGCTCTTATAATTAGGACCAAAGGTAGTAGTATGGAAGAAGATCGCTCATCTTCTCTTGAGGGAACCGAATCTTTCCGCTGCTCTTGTGTTTGAGATCCAAATAGTTCCAAGTCTAAATTATTAAAAGAACAAAAAAACATTTTTCCTTTAGATTGCATCTTCCCTTGGTTTAGAGTTCATTATCTCATTGACCCATATCTAGTGACTTTGATTACATTGGATGTATTGTTTCTGCTGTGTGATATTTCATTTTAAATTTTTTATCTTTGTTGTTTTGACGATTCTCGGCTAACAAATAATTTATCAATGAATTTGGGACACAATGAAACAAAGAGTGTGTCTGATTTTTCCCTCTTCATACTGTCATTATTTGAGAAGATGAAGAAATATGTATATGTGAAAATATAATAATAATGCAACAAGTTGTATGTTTTTATTATTGCACAACACTTTTTTGTAATTATTAATTTAAATAAATCACAAGATTCAAAAGTAGTCTAATAAGTACAAGGATATCAACTATGACTGTTTTTTCATCCCGAAAAAAAAAAGACTCTTTTATAAATCGTGAAATTCTGCAACTACTTAAGATGCTAATAATGCTGCAAACAATGTGTTTTTTCCCAAAAAAAAAATGTTCCTATTGACAATCATTTATGAGAAAAACCTTTCTGGCAAAAACAAAGAGAAAAACCGATATTGTGGGCCTACAAAGCCCAAATGTTTTCCGCGCCCGAAGGATATTTACATGGGAGCCCCTTCAATAATTGATATGGCCCAGCCGAATACCTTGCCATGGTTCTGCTTCCGTAGGAGTAGGACCAATATATCCGCACACTGTAACCAAAAAAGAAAAAAGATACACGCACACGCGCACGCTCTATATAAATAAGTAAATAACCATAGTGAACTACCAGACTGGGCATTGTGGTCAACAGTGGGTCCCACCAAGCCTCTGCTTTTCATGGTGGAGGCTGGCTTTTGCTGGCGTTGAAAATTTTCAAGGTTCACCCAAACGGGAGTCAATATATCATTATATATAAAGGGGGAAAAAATCCAACTGGACACTAAATTAGTTAGAAATAATAGTTTAAGGGTTGATTGATCGGATTAGAATAGATTAAACTGATATTAT